GTGTGTGTGTGTGTGTGTGTGTGTGTATGTGTGTGTACATGTGTATATATGGTGTAGGGGCAATACCGGGGCTTGAACTCAGGACCTCAAGCTCTCACTTGGCTTTTCCACTCAAGACTGGTGCTCTACCACTTAATTCCATCTTACTTTCAGCTTTTTGCTGGTTAATTGGAGATAAGAATCTCCATGGACTTTTCTACCCAGGCTGGTTTCAAACCACATCCTTCAGATCTCAGTGTTCTCTTAATTCTTAATTTATTCTTTTTATCCCTAGAGTCAGGATGCTGTCCTATGAATGACAGGATCCCTTCCCCTGTTTTCTGTCATCCTCTCAGGAAGACATCCTATTGGAATGGAGCTCCCTCTTGTTTTTGGATTTCTTTTATAAATGTTTCCCCTGGGCATTCTAGTTTAATCATGCGTCTTGAGTGTGAGGAAGGATCAGAAAGGAAACTGCGTCTTTGGAAATACTGATATTCACTGTCAGGGTCATATCTGCTGGAGTGAAGTTCTGCTTTTCTGCATTGTTTTCAGTGGAAAAGATAATAGCTTTTTGTGTGGTTTTTCTCATAGCTAATGTGTTTGCCTCCACCCAGAAGCTAGATGGAAGGCAGGAGTTACCCTGTCCTCAGCAGGATTTCTTAATCTTCAAGTTCTTCTTTCTGTATTGTTGCCTTTATTGTAAATCTAACTTGGACTTCATCCAGCAGAATTTTTTTTTTGTTTGTGTGCCAGTCATGGGGCTTGAACTCAAAGTATGGCTAATTATCTATTTGTCTCCAACCAGAGTTTAGATGGAAGGCAGGAATTACCATGCCATCAGTAGGCTTTCTTTTTTTTTTTTTTTTGGTCCGGTAGTGGGGCCTGAACTCTAGGCCTGGGCGCTGTCCCTCAGCTCTTCAGTTCAAGGCTAGCGCGCTCTACCACTTGAGCCACAGCGCCACTTCCGGCTTTTTTCTTTTTGCTTATGTGGTGCTGAGGAATCGAACCCAGGGTCTCCGGCATGCAAGGCAAGCGCTCTACCACTGAGCCACCTTCCCAGCCCCTCAGTAGGCTTTCTTAATCTCCAAGTTCTTCTTTCTGTATCGTTGCCTTTGGTTATAAATCTAACTTGGACTTCAGCCATCAGAAGTGTGTGTGTGTGTGTGTGTGTGTGTGTGTGTGTGTGTGTGTGTGTTGGCCATAGGGCTTGAACTTGGGGCCTGGGCTCTGCCCCTGAGGTCTTTGGTCTTTTGTTTAAGTCTAGCACTCTGCCACTTGAGTCGCAGCCCCATGTCCAGCTTTTTTTTTTTTTTGGTTGGTCGTGGGGCTTGAACTCTGGGCTTGGGCGCTGTCCCTCAGCTCCTCAGCTCAAGGCAAGCGCTCTACCGCTTGAGCCACAGCGCCACTTCCGGTTTTTCTAGTGGTTTATTGGAGATAAGAGTCTCATGGATTTTTTGGCCCGGGCTGGCTTTGAACCGTGATCCTCAGATCTCAGCCTCCTGAGTAGCTAGGATTACAGGCCTGAACCAGTGGCGCCCAGCTCCATGTCCAGCTTTTTAGTGGTTAGTTGGAGATAAGCGTCTCATGGCCTTTCCTGCCTGGACTGGGGTTGACTTTGATCCTCAGATCTCAGCTTCCTGAGTAGCTAGAATTATAGGTGTGAGCGCCTGGTGACAAGCCAATCAGCAGGATTTTATGTAGTTCAGATTATTCTATTGTGGTGACAACTAGTGAAGTATCCCAATTTCCCAGGGGTGGCGGGACTGGAACCCACAATTGGCAAAATGAGTTACCAACACTTAGTCAATTGGGCTAGGAATGGATATTATGCGCGGCAACTGCCCTTCACCATACCAAGACAGTGAACAGCAACCAAGCTCAAAATGGGGTAGGCTTATATAGGAAAAAAACCAGCAAGGGGGTCACCCACAGGTGACCAGTGGTAGTTTCGCAATTGGCAAAGAAGCAAGTTACAGAAGCAGAGCTAGCAGTTACTGGTTACAAAATGGCGATTACAATTCCAATAGCCAAGGCAATAAGTCACAAGGGAAAGTTCATATCCCAACTTCCCTTTTTTCAGTTTCTGGTTTTGGTTTTAGTTGATATTGACCAGAACACATTCCAAACCTCTTACTTATCCCACCCAAAATCAAACCACCTTCCAGGTTTTCTGGCTCTTTCTTAGTTTCACTGTTATTTACCAAATGGTAGTAACTCGTTGTTTAACTCTTCAATTTACTTCACGCCTTTATCTTTGGAATTTCTCCTTTTAATGACTAGCCTGGAGTTTTTTTTTCCTCTACAGGGAGATCCTGCCTTTCAAGTTTGGCCCTATTCTTAATAATCAATGAGTTTGTTCTGTTTCTAATTGCACATTTATATTCTTTTTTTGGGGGGGGGTCATCACACTAGAAGCTGAGAAATTGAGGGTGAGGCCTGGCACTTTGCTCTTTAAAGGGAATTGTGCAGCTAAGGTGTCCCATCGAGCTTACAGTGCTCAGACTCTGCTTCTGAGGCTTTCTATACTTTAGAAAAGCTGGAGGCTTTCTAAACGCCTGTGCTTCGGGTGTTTCTATAGTGAGGTGAGTGGTGTTCTACCAGAGGAAATAATTTTTTTGAATAGGATGGTCTTTGACCTCTTATCTGACAAGGTAGGCTAAGGAATTTCTATATGACCAGCTAATGGCAGAGGAGCATGTTATAAGTCAGTGATCATATAGGAAACACAATATATGTCATGTATGTGATGGTATATATACGTGTTATAGCTATCATATATCACATATATGCCATATAGAGATTATATATTCACCATATATGCTATATATTTATGGTCAACAATATATATATAATATTCTACTGTGGCAGTAGTTCAGAATCTTACAGGATGGGACCAGAACACATGCGGATTTTTTGTTTTTGTTTTCTTCCTTTTGTCTTGTTTTTTCATTTATCTCTCTTTTTGTTTTCTTCCTTTTGTCTTGTTTTTTCATTTATCTCTCTTTGGACATAAAAATGGAGGAACAAAGGGTAAACAAATTCAACAGTGATACTCAGAACATATGTTGTAAGATGAAGATATCAATGTTTAGTCATGGTAGCGGTAGTATATATGTGTGTGTGTTTAGAATATTGTATAGTTCTGTATATTTGAGCTTAGGCATAAGCTTAGGCATATATTTGATCTTAATTATTGTCTTAAATTTTTTTTTGCAGAAATAGACAATGTGGCTCAATGTCACATTCACCTTGCACAAACTCTAAGAGAAGAGGCCAGGAAAATGGAAGAATTCAGGGAAAAGCAAAAGCTACAACAGAAAAAGGTTGGATTTGTACACGTATGAAAATGTCACCTTTCTTCCTACAGAAAAGCTCAGTTTCCACACCCACACAAAAATGCTCCTCTCCTCTCCTCTCTTCTCTCCTTTCCTCTTTTCCCTCCTTTCCCTATTCCACCCCTCCTTCTATCTTGGAAACTGTGCCTTGTATGAGTCCACTGGTCCCTGGTAGCTACTGGTTTCTGGGGTTAGTATTGGTATCTTAAGATCCTGCCTGCCTGCCTTACAGCTACCTCAAACACTGCTCTTAGCAAACCACAGCTTCATCCCATTTCTCAGCCTATTCTTGTGCTCTACCTCTTTTCCAGAAGCAAATGCAGACATGAACATTTCAGAAAACTGTGTCAGGTACTTTCACACATTCTCTCAAGCTCATGTATTACACGTGAGGAGGACATCTGTCCCAAAATCTTTTTCCACACTATGTATGTTAATCAATTAGATGGCCAGATCCTTTTACAGGACAGTTCCAGGCTTGCCCTTCTTTCTATGGAGATTAAAATTTTATTTTCAGAAGCAAAATACCTTCAGTATGATCAGAGGAGAGTCATTCCTCATGTTTTTAAGTGTCTTTGAGAAGCACTGTTCCTTTTTTTTTTTTTTTTTTTGGTTGGTCCTGGGGCCTGAACTCTGGGCCTGGGCACTGTCCCTCAGCTCAAGGCTAGCGCTCTACCACTTGAGCCATAGTACCACTTCCAGCTTTTTTCTATTTTTGTGGTGCTGAGGAACCGAACCCAGGGCCTCATGTGTGTGAGGCAAGCACTCTACCACTGAGCCACCTTCCCAGCCCAGCATTGTTCCTTTCAGGTAGAATTTTGATGCTTTTGCAAAGCTTCTGAAACTTCCCCTCCAACAAGTTACACAGACCAAGTCGTTATTGTTAAGAGCATGCTGTGAATTCTGTTAAGCAATAGACTAGTTTGTGCTTAGCTTCCTTGCTATCAGTCAACTTGCCTCTCTAGCAGGCAGATACATTCAGAACATTGACAAGTCCGAAGTTCATTAAGGAATTTGCAGTTTTGTGCATCACAGTGAGCTCAGGATTTTCATCATTTCTGTAGTTAGATAAAACAAACATGTTAGGAGAAAATGTGTCAATACTAACTTCTCATTTTCAGTGGTCAAACTTTATACACTATGACCTTCTGCTTTTTGGAAATGAAGGCATTTCTACTTTTCAAGGAAAATCATGAGTTAGATTTTTTCAATAAATGGGTATATTAAATAGGTAGGTTTCATTAGGTAACAGATGAAGAGAACACCAAGTGATATTCAGGCAGGAAAAGAAGTTTATTTACGGGACTGGGAAGGTGGCTCAGTGGTAGAGTGCTTGCCTTGCATGCCTGAGGCCCTGGGTTCGATTCCTCAGCACCACATAAGCAAAAAGAAAAAAGCCAGAAGTGGCGCTGTGGCTCAAACGCTAGAGTGCTAGCCTTGAGCTGAAGAGCTGAGGGACAGGGCCCAGGCCCAGAGTTCAGGACTGCTGTCCTGTCAAGCATGGTGGAAAGGCATAGATGAAAGGGGCAACTCAGCACTGGGCCAGGACTTATCTAGGTCAGGGACAGGAAGAGGTGTGGCCAGGTGGGGGAAAGGTGTGTCCAGGTAGGGGAAAGGATGTGACCTTGTGGCCTGGGACCCTTCCTGTGGTTACATGAGATGCAAGACTAGGAGCAGACCAGGATGTAACCTAGCAGGAGGGAGAGATGACTGCTTCCTGATATGCCAGTTACCTAGGTAACACAGATACTGGGTAGAAACTTATCCAAGAGGTAGGGAAGTATCCACACAGGGCCTGCATGGCCCAGGGCAGAACTTACTGGTAGGAGACCCACCAGTTGAATGGCTGGTCAGACATTTATAGCTAATCACTCATAAAGCTCATATTTTCTAAGGATGGACACCAAGAAGGACATAGCTATCTCACTGTCACTAAGCATAGAGCATGTCCAGATAGACTGATGTGACTCTAGAAAATGATAAATCATGATGAGACTTCTATGGAGATAGGGAAAAGAAGGTGACATCTGAGCATCAGAGGTGGGGGATGTATAACCTCATCTGTGGTTTGAGGAAAACCTCTTGGCAGAAATAGTGTGAAAGTACCAGCAGTAAAAGGCCAGGAAACCCCTGGTGTTGGCAGATAAGGAAGGGGTCTTTGCATTGCATGCTCAGAAATCTGTATGTTTAAGGATGCTGAGGCTTATTTTCCATCCCAGAAATGTCTTTGAAAGGACAGAGACAGAAAATGGCCAATCACTCTGTCCTCTGGTGTTCACACTGTTTTGGAATTATGGGAGAAGATCAGAGTGGTTTTGAAGGGATTTGTGCTGTCTGTGTAGAGCCATTTCCAAAGCCAGGAGCCTCTTTGTTACTGAGAATGGTGCTTCCAGTTTATAGAATCAGAGTGAAAAGTATAAGCAAGCAGGAAAACGGATCATAAAGCAGCTATTTCAAGAATTTGCCTCCAGTTATTTGGGTCATTCATAAATCTCTCCTTCCTTTTTCCCTCCCTCATTCTTTCCCATCCTAGAGCCAAATGGTTGTGGTTTTGCTCTCCTTTGTGTTAGCCAAATAAAATTCTTATTTCCACCAGATTTGGACTGAGCAAAGAAAAAGTCTGAGTTTTAGAAGGACCTTCTCCCTGCCCCCTCAGCATATCTGAAAAAGAAGCTTTCACTCTCTGGGTCAGCCTATAAGTAAACATGTCATTGTTGAGGGAGGGAAGCTTATTTAAGTTGGTATAGTAGACAGAAGGTCACTGGGTGACCTTGAGCAAAGCATGTGAAATCTGGGATGCCAAGACTCTCTTGTATCTGGGTAGAGTTGGGTAGCTGCTTTCTAGGTTCCTGCCAGCTTTCAAATGCCAGGAATTCCTGAAGGCAGATAGGAAGTGAAAATATTTGTCAGTGGTGATACTGGCAACACCTACGAGGTGCTTGGAGCAGGTGCTGTTTTTTGAACTTGGAGATAAGGAGACCTGTCTCAACCTACCAACTATAAGACAGTAGCAACTCCAAACTGGAAAAGTGATGAAGTGTGTATTTGGACTAAAAAGGAGATGGCGCCGGGCGCTGGTGGCTCACGCCTGTAATCCTAGCTACTCAGGAGGCTGAGATCTGAGGATCGCGGTTCAAAGCCAGCCTGGGCAAGAGAGACCATGAGACTCCTATCTCCAATAAACCACCAGAAAACCGGAAGTGGCGCTGTAGCTCAAGTGGTAGAGCGCTCGCCTTGAGCTGAAGAGCTGAGGGACAGTGCCCAGGCCCAGGGTTCAAGCCCCACGACCGACCAAAAAAAAAAAAAAAAAAAATAAAAAGGAGATGGCATAAAACAACATTGCTAACCGATGTGCTCTAGTAGCCAGAGCACATCAGGAAGCATTATTAAATCAGTAAACTTGGCTTTTCCTCCTGGTAGAGGGGCACAGTCACTTCTGTGAACCACAGGTCCCTGCCTGTCATAACAAAAACCTGCCATGAGTTGAAGTAAAAGCCTTGTCTGCTCTCAGTGTCTCTATCTTCTTTACTGTTAGCAGATGATACCATCTCTTGGTACCTGTTTTTCAGCCAGGCTGGAAGATGACTACTGGGCCCTCTGAAGGTCCTTTGGGACTCTTTCAAGGGAATTTCATGTTCTCCACAAAGTTCATCCTGGAAGTGAGACTATCTCAAATACTCTATAATCTTGAAAATATTTTGTTATCTATGTATATGGTAATGGGTTAACACTTAATTTCTAGTTGAGGCACTGGTGGCATACATCTGTAATCCTTGCTACTCAGGAGACTGATATCTGAGAAGCTAGGTTTGAAATCAGCCCAAGAAAGAAAGTCTAGGTACATTTAGTCAGCAAAAAGACATAAATGAAACTGTGGCTCAAGTGGTAGAACCCTAGCCTTGGGTGAAAAAGTGATGGGGCCCAGATCCTAAGTTCAAGCCCCAGTACTGCCCTGAGTTCAAGCCCCAGTTCTGGCACAAAGACACAGACAAACAAACAAAAAACCCCAGCAACCCTTAGTTTTTAATAGATTCAGAAGCAATTACATTTGAATTTCATTGTCAATATTATTTTTATCATTTTTGCACAAAATCACTGTCACTGCTCATTTTGAAGTCATTGTATCTCTCAGTTTGTTCTGCTGGTTGGTTTTATTGAGCTATCATAGGGATAATGGTGCTTTAGGTTAATGACTAGGAGCTAGAGTACCAGAGTCAGGCTCCTGGGTTCAAGTTTTAGCTCTATTACTTGCTGATACTTGCTACTTGGGGTAAGTTTATTAAATTTATTACCATCAAGAAAATAGAAATAATAGTACTCATACTATTGTTGTGGTGCATGAAAACTGCTTAGCACACAGGGCTAGGGAATCTTTTTTCTACAAAGGGCCATTTGGATGTTTATATCATCATTTATAGGCCATAGAAAATTATTAACGCAGGCAGACAAGCCATGGGCAGCTGATGAGAAGTATGAATGTCTGTCCTGTTTTATATCAAATTTTATATGGCCCATGGGACAGTCTTTTTCCACTTCTGAAACATCTGATAAATGTGAGGCATTATGATTGTATCTGAGAGATATATCTTTTTTTTTTCCCCAGGGCTGAGGACCGAACCCAGGGCCTTGTGTGCGCCGGGCGGGCCCCCTTCCACTGGGCTAAACCCCCAGCCCCTGAGAGATATATCTTTATTATTAGCACCATTATCATTCCAGCCACAATGATGAAGATATTGCTCTTAATGAACTTGATGGAAGAGTTGACCCTTGCTAGGTTAACCAGGGAAAGGAATAGCACAGCAGTGTCTTTTAGCTGTCCCGTAAACCCTTCCTTCCTTCATATTGCCTCGGCAATATTGCTGGGAAAGGGTTTGTCACTGGTGCCAGGCAAAGTGAGATATGCCTGTAATCCTAGCACTTGTGAGGGTAAGACAGGAAGATCATGAATTCAGGGCTAACCTGGGCTGCAGAGTGAGACTTTGTGTCAAATAAGCAGCAGCAGCAGCAGTAACAAACCCAGCTAGAAAAACAAAAGGTGTGTCACTGATGGACCATAGAAATGGATGTTTATGTTATTAATTTAGTTGCATTGACATAAACTTACAGAATAAATACCTCTCTTTTCCTCAAATGTTTATTTTATATATTAAAAACACACTATTGTAGATTTATTGTTTTGTTTATTTTTATTTATTTATTTACTTTTTTTGTCTAAGACCTGGACTTGGTATCTTATGTTTTACTCACTGGCTGGCGTTCTATCACCTGAGCTACATCTACAACCGCCTTTTACTTTCATAACTTATTATTTTTTTCTTGTTTATATTTCCTTTTAAAAATACTTCTTTTTTTAAAAAAGTTAATTTTATTTAGTCTTTGTTTATGTGGTACCAAGGAATCAAACCCAGGACCTCATGCATGCTAGGCAAGCATTCTACCACAAAGCCACGTTCCTAGCCCATTGTTTTTTTAATTATAAGTAATTGTACCAAGGATTTTCAATCCAACAGGTCAATTTGTGAGTACAATGTATCTTGATACTAAAGACTACTCTTAAAATATAATCCGGTATTTACATTTTTAGAATTCTTTCAGTGTTGGAGATTAAACTCAGGACGTCATACACGCAAGGCAAATGTTTTACTACTTGAGCCACACCCAGTCCTAAAATTTATGAAACCAAAGTTCCTTGATTTCAGCTAATCTGAAGAGAGTGCTTAGAGGTGATCCATGAGCCTACAGAAACCTGGGGTTCAATCTCTGGTGTTCCATGGCCCAAGTTCAAAGGTCATTGTCAATCAGACATAAGACCGTGGCCAGGTTGCTGAGAGAATATATCTTTATTATTAGAACCTGCATTCTTGGAGGTCTGAGAACTACACAGAATAATTCATATGGACTATTTAGCTTCAAGTTACTCTAATGTTAATAATGGTTTCTGTGTTTAATAAAAATACTTTTGTTATCTTCACAGACAGAACTCATAATGGATGCTGCTCATAAACAAAGAAACTTACAGTTCAAGAAAACTATGGATGTGAGTCACACTTCATTGCCTTTGTGAGGGGTGGAGTAATGGTGATATTTTCTGAAATCCTGTGCTGTGAAAGAGTATATCCCTACTCAAATAACATTTCAATGATACTATTATTTATTAGTGTGGTGTTTTAGGGGACACCCAATCTTAAGTGGCCTGGCTTTCCTTTTTCTTAAAGCCTTAGAAATCCTGAAGGTAAAATGATAGACAGAGTGAGCATTTGCTCTCTGAAGCCCATGACGAATGGTAATCCCAACACTAGCCAGAGTCCCCATCTGTGCTGGGCTTGAGCACTAGGGGACTGCTTTTCAGGACTACAGTGTACTCATTTGTCACCTTTTTCTCTTTGTTCATAATAACAAAGGCAAAGAAGGTTTATGAACAGAAATGCCGGGACAAAGATGAGGCTGAGCAAGCTGTGCACCGGAGTGCCAATGCAGTAAACCCAAAACAACAAGAAAAGGTACTAGGAGGATCCCCAAACTGAAAAAATTGAGATTTACCTATATTCATATAAAGTCAACTGAGGACTGAGAGTGGTGGCACATGTCTGGAGAGGTTGAGACAGGAGGATTACAAGTCTGAGGTCAGCTTGGGTTACATAGTGAAATTCTATCAAAGAAGTAACTAAGAATCTTTCTTTCTTTCTCTCTCTCTCTCTGTCTTTGTCTCTCTCTCTCTCTCTCTCTCTCTTTCTTTCTTTCTTTTGTCGGTTGTGGGGCTTGAACTCTGGGCCTGGATGCTGTCCCTGAGTTCTTCAGTGCTCTACCACAGCACCACTTCTGGTTTCTAGTGGTTTATTGGAGATAAGAGTCTCACAGACTTTCCTGCCTGGGCTGGCTTTGAACCGTGATCCTCAGATCTCAGCCTCCTGAGTAGCTAGGAT